GAGATCAATCAACTTCTCCAGTAAAAAGACAGAAAGAGAATGAGTGATGCACAAACGTTGCTGACAAGAGCTGTGGGTGTATCAAGAACATATCGTGAGACGAGTAGAAGAAGGGATATATCGATGTAAAGTTAACATAGATATAATCAACAAAGAGATGAGTAGAGAGAGGTAGTGAGAGGGTGAACAAGCTTAAAGAGAGAAGAAAATGGATGGACAAGAAAGAAAGACAGTGAATTCATGTAGGATAGAGAGAGAGAGAGAGAGAGAGAGAGAGAGAGAGAGAGAGAAGAAGAAGAGAGTTGATCAAAAAAAAAAGGAGGACTGCAGGAATCCTGAGAGGATCTGTCAGCTCTCGTTGGCTTTGATTTTAATGGAAGCCAGCGCTCCCCTACCTCTAACCCATTTGGCCCTAATTCCAGCGATGCTTTCCAAACTTTTTAAACTTTAATGGCCCCTTCTTAAGTGCCAGCTGCTGACAACATTGATTTGGTTTTAAGCCTCGCTGTCCTGCACGCCTTTATTTTCCCCTGCAAAATCGACAGAAACATCTATTTTCTGCCATCCTCCTCCACCTCCTACTCATCCGATCCTCCTTCTATCCTCCCTTCATCCGCTCTCATCCGTTCATTTGATGGTGTCAGCGGTAAGGGGAAAGCTTATATGAGAATGGATGAAAAGGAACACTATTTGGATAAGCTGTTTTTTTTAGGGGTGTACTGCTTGTAGGTATTTTGGCCACTTATTACAAACAGGCTGGTTTTGGGAGACAGAGGGGTGATACTCTGATATTTCTTGGTGACACATAAATGCAATGATGTGGTGTTGCTCTCGATGGTCACACACAGGATTGTGTCATCTGCAACTTTCTCAGTTTGCTCAGTATGGCAGCAACTGTTAGGGTAATTATCACCATCATCTTTTTGGTATTTTATAATTATAGTTATTATATTAATAACCATATGAATAAGAGTAGTTCAATAGTTGGGGGGAAATCCAGAGAAACAAGTTGATTTGACAAAATTCATTAAAAAAACCCACCTGTAACATAATACAAAGCCTGAGTGTGTTTGTTGTATTTGAAGGTGTGCTTTTGCAGAAAGAAGTGAAGGAGGAAAGGGTTTTAAAAGAGAGTGTTGCCCTCCTTTGGTCAGTTATGGTTATGGGAAGAAATGAGACTCTATTAATTTGCAATGCAAATATAATATTATGACATCAAATATTCACCATTTTTATCTAACTGAGCAATGCGATCTCTAAAGTGTAAGAGAAGATGCTCTGGTTGAATTAGATATTTTAAATGCACACTGTAAAAGTTCAAATGTGGAGTAACCAACTTGCAATGACTCATACACTTTAAATTCATACAGAGTGGTGCCAAGCAAAGTAAATACTGTGTCCTTCTTATTTTCACTTTTTGCTGTTTAAATTACAGATTCATATCAAGTCTTAATTGAATATGACCGTTTGATTGTATTAGTTAATCACATTAATGGGAGTCTCGAGCTTACACCTACACATGCTGATAAGGCTTCCTGTGGCACTTATTAAGTTGTACCTTAGCGAACAGAGGATATATTGTTATTATTATTTATTGGATATTGGATATGAAACGGGTGCCATAGTAAAGCTGACAAGGCTGCTCCCTCAATGTCTCAAAGCCTTGCAAAAGTCTCACGCCACAATGCTTGCTACACCCTGCTGCATGCTATTGTTCACCATCAATAAGGAGACATCTATTTATGCAGGGATGACAGAGAGAGAGAGAGAGAGATGAACAAAGAACAGAAAGAGACAAAAGAAGACATGAAAGTTTGAGAGAGAAAGAAATACATGACAGAAAAGAGGTAAAAAAATTATAATCTCCCCTGCCCTCCCCTTTTCCTAGGAAGTGACAGCCACAGTGATGTATAACCCTGGCAGTGGGAAGTTAATTAGATAGGCTGGGGTTACTTAGAGATGAAGGACTCAGAGGCTGAGAAGGAGAGAAAGGAGGAATGGGATGAGAACTCCAAAATAATAAAAGAAAGGAATAGAAAGGAGGGTGGTGAGAGTTGTGAGGAGTGAAACGAGTCAGGGAAGAAAGTAGAAAATAGAGACATAACAAGAAGAGAGGTAATAGGGAATGCGAGAGAAGGAGTGACATGGTGAGGGGGAAGAGGGGACGTTTAAATAAGAGGCAAAAGGCCTTGTTAAAAATATTTTTTGCATTGACACTCAAATACAACAATACGACAGACACACGTGCCGCAATGCAAGAAGGGTACCATGGGTATGATACACAACATAAATGATCACAACAGTCTCTCTGACATGGCACCCCTTGTGCCCGGCTCAAGGACACACTTTAACATGTCATGTGCACTGCTGAGCAGGTAATTGCATGTCTGCCCTCCATCAGGGAAGTGCATGACATAGACCAAAAGAACGGGATAAAAACCTTGCCCAATATTAATTTGCACTTATAAATAATACATTCATTCACTTATTTGTTTTACGGACAGCTTATCTTGTTTAGGGTCGCAGCCAGCAGGAGTCCCAGCATGCACTAGGTTGCTACTGTATCACAAGGCTAACACAAATAGAGCAACAAACATTCACACTTTCACATGCATGTGTGAGGGATCCGGTGGCACCTGGAGGAATCCAATGCTAGGGAAAAAGGGCCCAACTGGCCAGCAGTCAGACCCAAAATAACAACTCACTCTCTGAAGTTACTAAACTGTATGCTCAAATACTTTTTTTGTTCCCTCGATGTAGTTATTTGCCCCTGCACAATTTCTCCCTCAAATTGATTATTCCCTATTCTATTGCCCCTTTGACAGTCTTTGACTGCAGTTATATTTTGATGTTGGACTGAGATATGCTGACATCCTTTAACCCATGCTGTCTGTGACATCCTAGAACGTATGTTATGGAATAAGAAATAGTTTTGCTGTAAAAACCTTGATACTCTGGTTATCATACAGTAGATAAACACACAGGTTCAAGGTTCCAGAGTACTTCATGGCAGATGATGAATAAAAACCCCAGATCTTGAAATTTTGGTTTTACTCAAGTCACAAGGTTTTACATCACACATTAAGGCAATAGTGAATAACAATATGAGAGTAAGAATAGCAAATTCTAAAATACTTTGACTGATCAATTGCAGCTTATGTAAAAGTCTATTAATCTACCTAACGTATTATTGGTGAGCTAACTGTGTTACAACCCGGCTCAAAGGCTGCAACTTACAGTGAAATGAGCATTCAATAATATGACCTCAAGTACTTTTTCGTACTCTTTCAAGGTAATTAGTAGTATCAATTACTATTTAAATATAATAAAGTAGAAAAAGAACGGTACTTATTATGCAGAATGACCCATTCCAGGGTCATATGGGATAACACCCGAGGCGGTGTCCATTATCAGGAATTACTGGATGACATGGAGGGTTGCCTCTCCAAAGCCATTCATTTCTGATAATGGAACACATCGGAGGACATTTTCATGCGTTTTGCAACCAAAATTTTTTTCATGAGCCCTTCACTCCGCTTCCCTGGAAACCCTTGGGTTCGCTAGTAACTAGAACAATCATTATAATCCCATAAGACTCTTATGCAATGTAAACGTTCACTGCTCCAGTAAATAGGATGAATCTTAGATAAGACTTGGAAACGTGATATTTCCAGTCGCCTCATCGAATAGAACCCTTTGGCTCCGCTATGAACCAGGAAGTTATGCTAGCGAGAATCAAAGTTAATAACATGGCGAATGGTTGACACACAGTAAACACAATTTGACAATGTGTTTAATAACAAGACAAGCTAGCTATCCAACAATGACATTGTCCCAAAATCAGTATAAATATTTTCTCTCTGCAATACACTGTATACCACTCTGCCTGGCTGCACATATTAATTATATATTTGAAAATTCCACCATCTAGTCTGACATTCTGTCTTATTATTTTGTTACCACTATGCTAGAGCTGTCCCGAGAGTTTGGTGACCTCCGTGTGCTCAGACCTCCTGGTGTCTGGTCACATGGATGAAGTTGAGTACTTTTCAAAAGTGAGGCCCAGGGGATGGAAACAAGATCAGGAAATGGGAGAGAAGAAGAAGAGAAAAGCAGGAGTGTTGTTTTCAGAGACTTCTGTTATTAGTGTGTGTGTGTGTGTGTGTGTGTGTGTGTGCGTGTTTGTACTGTGCATGAAAAAGTGAGACAGACGGTGTGTTTGTGCGTGTGACTGACAATGACAGTGATAGTGACGAACGAGCGGGGGCCATTCTTCTGTTAATTACTGAGTTAATGACACACTATGCTCCAGCGAACATGCAACATGGCAGGCTGATGCATACACAAACACACACACACACACACAAACATACATGCACACACCCACACACACACACACACACACACACACACAAGGATAATGGCTAAGTCTGCTTCTGTGCTCATGAAATGTGGCAGGCTGCTATGCAAAGAGCTTGACAGTAAGATAGCAGGCTAACAATGATATACACACACACAGACACACACACACACACACACGCACAGCAGCAACTGACAGGGAACCTCATCAAACCAGCTGAAATGAAGTCACTTCTCCCAAACAGAAGAGGAGAAGAAAGGAGGGATGAAAGGAGGAGGGCAGAGGAGGAGGACAAGGTCGCCTGGATTGATGACGCTCATTAGCCTAATAAGGTACTTTAATGAAGCGGGCCCAACACTATAGAGTGCCAGAGAGTCTAAAGACACACACACACACACACACACACACACCTCACTGGGTTTTGCTAGTTGGTGTTGTCCCATGTATTTACACGTGAACATAGCTATTTGTGTATATTTCTCTCACAAGCAAATACCCACACACACCACACCATAGACACATACATGAACTGTACTCTCAGACATACTAAAACGTACTGATCACGTTATTCTCACAGACATTTTCACACACACACACATACACGCACACACAAACAAAGCGGCAGATGAAACACACTCACCTCTCCTTCTGAGGACTGCAAGAGGAGGTCTTTCCTACAGGACGCCGTGAAGTCTCCCACTCCAGCATTGACTTCCACCCCTCTGGGGGCCTCGAGGGTCAGGGTCCGAGTCGGCGACTCCAGCCTGAGAGCCATAAACACACTTTAGTCATGCTAGAAGCTGTGGAAACCCACCTGCAGAGACATATATATAGTATGAACAGAACTTCTGCTACCATGAGAGTATTACCACAGGATCAATAATGAGTTGACTGCGAACAAGGTTCTCAATCCCCCAGCTGCTCAATCAAAAGCAGCAGAAGACTACGGTTGTACTAGTAAAGCTAATATAACAGAGGAAAAATCAAGACTCCCTAATTCAATGTTTAGTCTGCAATAAAGACCTCCGTAGAGTTATATCCCCTTGAGTTACATGAGGTTAAACATTAAACGACATGCTGCCTCTTGAATACACAACTTGAAACTGTAGAGTGAATTAGTAAGTGCTGTTTTGTTACATTGTACCCTTTTGAACTTCATCAATCCAGTTGGATTTGGATGACTCAAGATATGTGAAAAGGGTTGACTGTCACAATTACTGCAGGTAGATATATTGGATAAAAAAGCCAGTAAGATATCATCCCCTTCATGTTCTTGACAAATGTAATACTTTTGGATCATTGTATTAAACTTGTTGGTATCAGGCGTATCTATAAGTATCTATAACCTCTCAGGGTTTCTGGCTCAGCAACACTAAGTCATTTAGTGAATTGTTCGTGGCCCCAACACATAAAGGCCTTCAGCTCACTGTGTAGCCTTATAATGGTTGGCTTAGAGTGAACTGAACATGCTGACTTTTCGCTGACTTTTATTTGTCTCATTTCTAATCATTTTACTGTGGAGCAACTTTTAACTTTGCCTTTGAGAAAAACCTACAAGAATGAATAATAAAAATAAAGAATTGTTATACTGCACTGCTCCAAAGTGCTCCGGCCATGGTTGGCGTCACTCCCCTTGGAGCGCAAGGGGTCAATAGCCAAGTGTGCGACTCAAAGTTGAAAACAATGCAAGATGATTAAACAGCTTGGTGGTGTTAGATAAGCACAGTGCTTCGCTCAAGGGCATGTTGGCAAGTGAAATTAAATAGAGCGCTTTCGGCAAGGCAGACAGAATTACAATTTATGAAGTGTAAGTATAACAAATTAAACAGCACGCTCACAACAAAGATCAAATCGGAAAAAAAAATGCTTTGCTATAACGCCATTTTTCCAGAGAAGCTTTGCTCAAGGGTACTTCAGAAAGTTGCTTTCCCATCCCCTACTGAAAGGTTGAAGGGATAAAGCATACAAGCCACAAGGGTAGATTAACTGAATTTATAACGGGCGTCCAGTCCGTGGTTGTTTACAGAGACGTAAACAAGCGTCAGTGCCTCAGCCAAAGGCACTTTGGCTGGGAGTGATCGCACCAAGCTTCCTCTGTTAATGTCCTTCACTTCAATGATGGAGGGAATGTGTATTCGTCATGGTCCCAGCTGTGTCATTCCAGGTATTTCTACTTGTGTGTTTCCATCTGAAGAACCAAACATTAGCAGACAGGAAAAAGCTCCCTTGGAAGTTGTTGTCTGTGTTTGGGTTCCCCCGCGTAATGAACATGCACTAAGAGATATTTCTGCCTCAACATTGCTCCTTTTCTGCTGCTTTTTTTTCCCAGGGTGTTACGCTATTGGAAAAAGAGATTCACCCCGAGAAGCCATTCAATTGAGTGTTGAGAAGAGCATGTTACTAGTGACGACATAATGCCACTTGATTTCAAGAAAATGCTGGAAGCGGGTTTGCATCAGAATATTGTCATCTCATCCTCCTAATTTGCTACTCTTATTTAATGAAAATGGAAGTTTATGAGTCTGTATCAGACTAAATGACTTAAGCTGTGCAGTGCACTTTGTTCAGTGTAATGGAAAGACCTTTACAAATCAAACCATTTATTCAATCAGCATGTCTGAGTTTGCTGTTTGTCAGAGCTAACTGTGGTATTTATTCTGGGTTGAAGGTAAAGCTGCCGGAGGTGTAGAGGAGTCATGTGGTGGATTAAAGGTGAGGGAAGCTACACGCTGCTGTGCGCTGAGCATCCAAGTGATATAACAAGTGTGCTGGAAGCAGACAATTCACATTGGGCCTGTAACAACAGTGCGTATGCTGCAGCAGTCAGAGGTTAGGAAGACGAGAAACAAAGCCAGAGACAGCCAGACGACCAAACAAATGTGTCCTATTATTCATTATACTTTGCATTTGCAATGGAGAGAGAGAGAGAGAGAGAGAGAGAGAGAGAGAGAGAGAGAGAGAG